AGGAAAGCCGAGGAGAAAGCCAGGAAGGAGAAGGAAGAAGCAGAAGAGGAAAGGAAAAGACAGGAAGCCACAGCAGAAGAGGAAAGGAAGAAGCAGGAAGCAGCAGCAGAAGAAGGAAGGAAGAAGCAGGAAGCAGCAGCAGCAGAGGAGAGAAAGAAGCAGGAAGCCGCAGCAGAAGAAGAGAGGAAGAAGCAGGAAGCCGCAGCAGAAGAGGAAAGGAAGAAAAGGCAGGCAGCAGCAGCAGCAGAGGAAAAGGACAGGAAGAGACGAGAGGCAGCAGCAGCGGCAGAAGCAGAAAGGAAGAGACGAGAGGCAGCAGCAGCAGAAGCAGAGAGGAAGAAGCAAGAGGCAGCAACAAGAGAAGGAAAAGAAGATGAAAATGAAAGTTTGAGGATTGAGATGGCCCAGCTTCGTGAGTTAGTCAGAGGAATGAAGGAACAGCAAGCCTCAGACAAAAGGAAGATCATCTCGCTTCAGGAAGAGCTCAAGAAGGCCACAGACAGTGAAGGAAGCACAGGAGAAGGAAAGAAGAAGGACAAGCCGATTGGCCCACAGGATCGAAGCCAATTCAGAGTTGGAGGAAGTGAAGGAGCTCAGGAACTGTATGCGATCTTTCCTTACGAAGGATCAGATTTCCAGTGGAAATGGGTGCAGGCCACAAAGGCATGGCTCTACTACGACGTGAACCAGAACTTGTGGATCAAGGACAGCGAAGATGAAGATGGAGGAAGGATCTGCAAGGAACAGGAGAAGCAAGTGAAAGGATGAAGGAAGGAAAAGAAGCGAAGGAGAAGAAAAGCAAGGAAAAGCAGAGGAAGGATCAGCAGCGCTCAGTCGAGCAGTGAGGAGTGAGTTTCAAGATGAGAAGGAAGCCAGAACAAAGGATGGAGTATCCGTTCTACTGGCAACTTTCAGGAACTTTGTTTTCGCTTTTGTTGACTAAAGGAAAATGATCCGAGTAATCAACTTAGCCCACGACAGTCGAAGCTAGCTTAGTCTAGGAACGACTTTCACCAGCTTCGAAGGCGGGGTGTTAAACATCTACGCAGTACAGGAAGCTGTGCACCAGGTGCATGTGGAATGCACACCAGAGCCTCGGAACGTCTTGTCGACGACAGGCTCGAACAAGGACACACACCGCAGCGAACCCAGGAAAAGTGCGGAGTGTCCCAGCTTTTCAGTTAGCTTTAGATTGACCCTATCTTTGACAGAGGTCCCTATTTGGTGCTAAGCTTTTGAGGTATTCGATGGCTTGGTCGACGATTTTCGGCAGCGCCTGCGCAACAGCTATCCTCTGGCCCAGCTGGAAATCAGTGATCGCTGGCGTCAAGATGTCCTGGAGAGGATTGGTGGGCATCTTAGCAATCCTCAAGTCCATTTTGCTCCTGAGCAGGTCCGATTGCATGTGTACGCAGTATTTGTATGTCGATATGAAAGGATCTTGGATCCTAAGTCTCACTGCCCACAACCATCACCCACATTGACCTGCAAGCCGCACACAAAACCGCATCAGCAGCCCTCTGAAATATGTCCTCGCCAGCCCAATAAGACGAACTGCTATCAACCCTGCGGGTTTTGGATGTACAACGGCATGTGTGTGTGTGTGTGTGTGCGTGTATATATATATATATACATATATATATATATATATATTTGTGTGTGTGTGTGTGTGTGTGTGTGCGCGTGTGTGTGTGTGTGTACCATTTTGCATTTTCCATTTGAATTCGGCATGTGCAGGTCCATACATACATTCATCCGCCCCTTTCCGAGGTGAGGAAGACCCCGCCGGAAGTCTCGGCGCACGCTCCCTGCGGCGCTCCTTGCGTGGTGCTCCGGACATTTCGGTCACTACACTACCTGTCCCCCATGCCCCCGCCCCCCCCTCCCCCCCTCCCCCCCGTTCCGCCCGGAAAAAAAACCCATCACCAATTACCCAACCCCAAAACCCCATATTTCACAGCCCATACACCCTTGATTGGAGGGCTTGATTGGAGGGCTGCTAGGATCTGTTATGCAGAACAAGCACAACGCATCCTATTCATGCAGTCCTCTGGCCTAGAGTGCGAGTCAGCTCTGTGTCTATGTGCCCTTGATTTGGGTGTAGGGTCTAGGGTGTAGGGTTTAGGGTTTAGGGTTTGGGGTTTATGGGTTGAGGTTTATAGGGTTCAGGGTTTTGGGCGTTGTATGGCCGTGACTATTTTGCAGAACTCTTCGGGGCTCCCGAGCAGTGGCTCCGCTGGCTGTTTTGTGCTTCGGGGTCTTGAGTTTGGAGGGCTTAGGGTGCGCAGGTAGAATTGCCTACTGCCCATGAAGAGGCTGAAGTTTCTAGAGGTGTTTAGCTCTATAGACTCTAGGGCCTTTAGGGTTTGGGCTTTTTTGGATCTTTAGGGCGGTCGGCTGTCCTGCTACAGGATTGCAGGACTCGCAGGGTGCGGATCGTGGGGTCGTCGGTGCCACCGCCCCAAGGTGCGCTGGAGGACCCGGTCGCCTACGCCATCCTCAAGCACAAGGCCAGCCTTGAAATACAAAACTCGGGATGTTCCCCCTTCAATGCCCTTATAACTAGCCGTCCTGAATAGGGATTAGAATATAGGGGGTAATGTAATCCCCATTAAGGGCTGTTAGCATAAGGGGGAACATCCCAATACAGAACTGCAAACATGTTCCTGAGCTCCCCAATTACCATTCAGTCTGGGCTATATACCCTTCATGTAGAAGTTGCAGGCCACTATTGCGGGTATTTTCGGGGTCCAGGTAGGCCGTGTCCTCGAGAAGGCTTAAGGTTAGAGGGGGGTGACGTCTGCTGCTCACAGCTTCGATGAGTGGTTTCCTGCTGTCCGGCTCCAGTATATTTTTGACTTTGTGCAGCATGGTGTGTCTGTGAAGCCCTGGCTTTCGGGATGTAACTGGGAGACTCGCGTTTCGGGGCAGGCCGATGAAGCGACACCATTGCGCAAAGCTGCTCGGATTGAGATTCGCCGCAGCGCATCAACAACGAGCGCCAGCAGCCAATGTAATCAGTATGCCGGAGAGAGTCAGCGTCGTTGCATGACTAGTTATCGGTGAAACTGACAAGTCTAACCACACACCTAAACCCTCAACCCTCAACCCTCAACCCTAAACCCTAAACCCTAAACCCTAAAGCAGACAGAAATGCATGGGCGTGGCGGAGGTAGTCGTGGACTCAAGCACATCTGGTGAGACGTTGGTGTCCGTCAGCGCAGACTGACGAGGCCATCGCTTTCGCACTTATCGGGTTTTGGGGTTTAGAGATGGGGTTTCGGGTTTAGGGTTTAGGGTTTAGGGTTCAATTCGGGTTTGGGGTTTCAGGGAGGTGCTGTTTGGCACCCTGTTCATGAAGCCATTGGAGAGTCTAAACACCCCAGCAGTCGCAACGTCTGACATTTCCCGGGTATGGCTGTCGCAACGTGTGTGAGTGTGTGTCTGTGATGTCAATCCTGGGCTCTTCTAAGCACCAAGACAAAAATCACTGACGGTCAAGCCTGGCGCTGCCGGTTGCTGCTGCAGGCCCGACCATGGACACGAACTTGAGCCAGCTTCATGAGAGTAGAATTCCCTAGAAAGGGAAACCTTCCATGGGCTGCCATTGACGATGTACAGAGCCTGGTATGCGGGGTACCCAGAAAGAACCCATGATGAAGCGAATCCCTCCTGATGGTGATGATGCGGTCACACTGAAGCCTGATGCCTCCAGTTTTTCAAGGGGGTTTCGTGGCAAAACCTCCCTGACGTGAAGAGTTCGGTTCGCATCGTGCTTGCGAAAGCAGGGCGTACGTAAAAATCCCAGGATTGCTGTGGAGAATCTGTGGCAGTATTCAGACGGGACGCTGCAAGCTGACATCTATCTTGCCCTATCAAAATCATTCCTTACAGAGGAAAGAGTCTGCATTCTGTATCCCACTAGCACAAGCCAGCAAGAGGTCTTTGTGAATTCTGTTGACTCTTCCTGTTTGAATTACATGCTTGCTTTTTGGATGTGCTCATAGTTCTGCACGCTTGCGCTACATTTTCCCGGAGCTGTCGCTCCTCGCTCGGCAGCCGCTTGCTCAAGCTGACATGACATCGCAGACGCTCCTATGAGGTTTAGGGTTTAGGGTTTAGGGTCTTCAAGACCTTGAGTTCCCCCAGCTCATGTAGACCTGCCGCTTGCAGCCGTGGCAAAATCCAAAGGACTGCAGTGATAGTACAATACTTTTATGTACATATATAGTCCAGTATATATATATATACGATAATATAGTATATACATATATTATATGGGAAAACATAGAATCTTAACACTTCAGTACCACAGATGAACACCGATTGAGTCCGTGAGACCGGGAAACAGTCCCCAGCTGCTTGCCTTGCACCCGCTCCCCTCACCATGGCGGTCGCATCCTCGAGCTGTTGCACCGCAAAGACGCTCACCTTTAGGGTCTTAGGGACCCTAAACCCTATAACCCTATAACCCTATAACCCTATAACCCTATAACCCTATAACCCTATAACCCTAAAACCCTATAACCCTATAACCCTATAACCCTATAACCCTATAACCCTATAACCCTAAACCCCAAACCCTAACGCTAAACCCTATATAGGGGCTTATAGGGTTCCAGACTGCTGTTTCAGGCAGCCACGCTTGCGTAACTCTATAGCGCCTAGTCGCAAACAGCCCTTGCTTGGCGTGTCATCTGCGCCGTGAGACGTCAAGAAGTTTCAGCATGAAGCCGTCAATCTCAAAGCATGACATGAACTGGAATTGCTGTAGAGGTTTCTCATGAACCAAATAACCTCAACCCCATAGTGCCTATGTCATGCATAAACAAATTTCAGGTCTAACTACACCTAATTGCTTCCGTCCTTGTGGCCCTTGCTCTACCATAGAGCTTCCAGCAACACTGCCATGACCTAGAGAAGCAGCAAGCTCCACCCTGCACATGCCATCGCACCTTAGAACCTCTTGCTTCGCCTTCATTTTGCCACAAGCTGCCGACATGTCTCTCCGCCCAGCGCTGTCCGCTTCCACTGGGCCGGCCGCTCGTACGGGGCAGCGCGCTTCGGGTTGGCAGCTGCGAGAGCTTTGCCAGCATTCTGGGTAGGCCCTTGGGACGTTTCCTATTCTCCTGTCTTGGGTTCAAGAGGGTCATATTTAGGAATAATCTTTCAGAGGGTGCTGAGGGACATCCTAGCATTTCATCCGACCGCCTGTGAGTGCTACGGCGAGGTGCATCATGCCGACCCGTACTTGCACTGCTCTTCTCCCTACAAACCCAAGAGCCTTTAATGGACCCTGCCATCCCTCCGCGAATTGCTTGCTAGGGAAGTGTGTGATTCAGTCACACTACATGCACACCCTTTGGCAGGTTATACCACGCAATCCTTTAAAAGGGGTGTATATAGGGGGATTCCAGGTACCTGGTTCCCTAAGCCGGTTTTTTTTCAGCAGCTTTTGAGTTGAGCAGTCCATGTCCCAAGCTCCGATTATGGAAGGCTCGACCCTTGTACCGGGGTTGAGGGCTTAGGGTTCAGGGTTTATAGGGCTCAGGGTAGTTCCTGTACTCAGCCAAGATGAGTTTAAGTACTCTTTACCCTGCTTTCTATACTTTGTTTTGTGAAGCACTATTATGTGGGGCAAGCGGAGCAAGTGGCAGAAATCGCTTAGCGGTTAAGACAGGGCAAGTGGGGCAACATTTTTCCTGCTAAGGGATCAGAGCAAGTGGGACAAGAGGAAAACGGTTAGAGGTGCAGGTTTGCACGCCCACTGCACTATTTTGCCCGGATCCCACTTCAGCAGTAGGGAGGGGCAGGAGAGGGGGGGGGGGCTTGTTTTAAGTAGAGAGATGAAATATTCAAGCTCATTCTGTACAGTTTACGGGCCCAAAGTAAGACCAAGAAAAGCCAGCACAGCCCACCTAAACCCAAAGCCCTTCACCTTAAATTCCTCAAAACCCAAACTAAGCCCCTGTGCACCCTAAGCCCTATACACCCTATACACCCTAAACCCTATACACCTATTCTTACACCCTATACATCCTAAACCTTATATACACCCTAAGCCCTGTACGCTCTAGACACCCTGATTGCTATATACACCCTAAGCCCTATACGCCCTGGGCACCTTGAACCCTATGTACACCCTAAACCTATACAACCTGCCAATACACCCTATAAGCCCTATTTCCACCCTAAACCCTATATCCACCCTAAACCATCCACCCTAAACCCTATATCCACCCTAAACCCTAAACCCTAAACCCTAATACCCTAAAACCCTAAAACCCTAAACCTTAAACCCGTTTTTTTCACCCTAAACCCTATTCACCCTTTTGTATCAACCCAACAGACGAGCTTGAGGATGCTTGGCTCCGGCACCGCTGCAGCGTGAGCCGGCAGAGCCAGGCCGGAGAAGGGGTTTAGGGTTTCGGGTTTAGGGTTTGTCTAGGGTTGAGGGCGGGGAAGTGGGGGGGTTAAGGCGGATTGTCGGATTCTCGGCACCCCCAAAGTAACCCATCACAACGGCTCTGTCTCCCTCTTTCTCGCTCGCTCTCTCGCATTCTCCTTCTCTCGCTCTATACGTATACATGGCTGATAGGGCTTAAAGGGTACTTCAAGGTCCCGGAGCCTTGGGGCGTATGCACTTTGAAAGTCTGCTTGTGGCTTTATGAGTACCAGTGGAGTACAGAACATATTCCTGGCTCCCTTCTGAGGCGAACCCGCTGCACTCACTACCGCTGGCCTCCATCTCCCTGGGTTTGGGTGGCTTGTTGGCCGGGGCGCGATCACGGCACTTCTCCAAAACCGGGCCATGGCTCCGCCGAACGGCTCTGGGCGTGAGGCCCTCCGGGCCCACGGTGTGCCGTGCCCTGGCCACAGAGGCCTTGGCCGCGAAGGTCCTGGCAGAGAGCGCGGAGATCCGCGCCCCGCCCGGCGACCCACGCCAGTACCTTGGCCCGGCATCGATCTCCAAAGTTGTGATTTATACACCTGATAGGGTTTAGGGTTTAGTGTTTAGGGTTTAGGGTTTAGGGTTTATGTTTCATTTAGTAGAGTTCGTAGAGTAGAAAGGGACCACAAGCATTCTAGAGAGTTCATCTCCCGAGGTACCGCGTGCTCCAGCTGGACAACGATCTCCAGGTTCTCTTGGCTTCGGACCCGAGCGCGAGCACGTCGGCTGCTGCGGTGACGGTGCAGTGTGGGACCTTTCAGGATCCCAAGGAACGCCTTGGACCCTTGGGGACCAAATGAACCCTATATAACTGGGGTCATATATATATATATATATACCCTATGCTACTGTAATTCCTATTAAGGTATATGAGCCATCAACCCTTTTAGGGTTCATTTCATCCCCAAGGACTGGCCCACTTTCATGAGCACATGCTGTTCCTGGGCACGGAGAAGTTTCCGAAGGAGGACGAGTACACCAAGTATCTTAGTGAGCATGGCGGTGACAGCAACGCCTTCACGATGTCCGAGTACACCACGTACTACTTCAAGGTGGCACGCTCGCTGTCGACTGCATCTACATATATATATATACATACATATACATATACATATACATGTACATATACATATACATAGAGAGACCCTGACAACTGAGAAGGCCCTGTTCCCAAGCAAACCCTGCAACACATATTGTGTAAACTGCGGTGTATTTCATTTTTTAGATTATTATGACTATCCCGGAACCCTAAACCCTAAACCCTACGAGCTAAACCTCAAACCTCAAGCATCAGGTTGCTTCGCCCTTCTTGGACGAAGCCTTGGACCGATTTTCCCAGTTTCCTGCACCTCTGGCAGTACCTTTTTTTGTGCAGTTCAAAAGCGTTAGGGGGGGGGGGGGGGTTAAGGTTTGGGTTCGGCTCCCTGGTAAACGGCAAAACTACTTCCCCAGACCTCTCCCGCAAAAGCGCTTCATGTAAGAAGTTGAAATCGGAAAATTTTGGGGGGAAGGTGGGGGGGGAGGGGGGGCGAAACTAAACCCCAAACCCGAAACCCCTTTCAGGGTTGGGGGATGCTTGTGGAAACCTATGATCCTACACGGGGACCAAGGTTCTTTATCAGCCCGACCTTTGCTCCCTCCGGCATCGAAAGAGAGATGAAGGTCGAGATGTTGTTATTTGCTCTTGTTACTGTTTGCTGACTGAGGGAATCCGCCCTCCTTGTAGGCTGTGGATTCTGAGAGCACCAACTACTCCACGGAGGACGGTTGGCGACTGCTCCAGGCACGTCGGCGTAGCTGGGAAGCTGAGTTGCAGCCCTTGGCCCTGCCATACACATATATATATATATACACACATTTATTTGTTGATTTTGTATTTGTTTAGAAAGCATAACAATTCTTATCTTTCATGAACATGACGTATTGTGTATGCAGATGTAAATGTCTATGTACATGTACATGTATATGTATATGTGTATGTGTACGTGTATGTATATGTATATGTGGATGTGCATGTGCATGTGTATGTGTGTATATATATATATATATTTACAGGTTTATTATATTGCCCTGCTGTTATATGAATATGTATATATGTGTATGTAGATCTGTATATATATATATATATATTCATATATATATATATATATATATATATCCATACACGTATGTGTCTGCGCATGTCCCTGTGCCCGTGCATGTGTACGTAAAAGTATATGCATACATGGATACGTATATGCACAGGCTTCAGCCCCAAATTGATTGTCAGTTGCCACGATGCCGATGGGAAGCCGTCAGCCTCAACTGATAAAGGGTTGCTTCTCCGTCTCAATCGTTTAGGGTTCAGGGTGCAGGGTTTAGGGACTTCAACTACTGATGAATGAAAAGTAATCTTCTTGCTGACGTTTAAAGTCATCGTTGCAGCATCGGAATGATCCGTCGGCTCGAAAAACTGCAAGTCTCAAGGAGTGGTTTGGAGTTCAGGGGTTTCGGGTTGAGTCGAGTCTGAGGAAACGTTGCAGGTGCACGGTTCTGCCCCTTAAAGTGCCTTAAAGTCCTAAAATGGTGCAGACAAGGAACGGCAGAGACTCTCTTTACATGCAAGGTTGCTGTTCCTAGCGGTCCCGGCGCCTCTTCTGCGCCATGCTTCGCGTTCACAGCGTCTCAGGGGCCGAGCTGCTGGCCATGCCTGTGGAAGAGGCACTTACGGTGAGGGCCTTGAAGGAACGCCTGCAGAACCTCTGCGGCTTGCCACGATTTCGGCAACGGCTCTTGCACCATACGGAAATCTTGAGTGACGATGCCCTGCTGAAGGCACCCATGGATCTGCGGCTGGTGTTGCTAAGCTTTGTCACCGGTGAAGACCCCAGCAGGCTTGTGGTAGCCGCCTTTCAGGGTCGTGTTTCAGATGTTGAAGAGATACTCCAGAAACCTGAGAATCCGAATGGAGAGGGGCGGTTAACGCCGCTTGGATTGGCAGCAGCCCGGGGCCATTTAAAGACAATGAGGCTGCTGTTGGAGGCAAGAGCCAGTATAGATAAGCGGGACGACGTGGTCGGGGGCCTGACGGCTCTTCACCACGCATGTTACCGTGGACATGTTGATGCGGTTCGCCTGCTGTTGGCTGAGGGCGCAAACAAGGAAGCAGAGGGCGACACTGGCTACACCCCACTCTGTATGGCATGCCGTCGTCGACGACTGAGGGTCGTGCGCCTACTGCTTGAGGCCGGCGCCCGCCCAGCGCGCACACGTGATTCGACTCCTCACTTTGCCGGCCGCAGCCGGCTGCAAATTCGTCGGCTGCTGTCAACCTACAAGTGGTCCCGCAGGCCTCCTAGAAGGCCATTGTGATGCTGAGATGCTGCCAGCAGCCTGCTCAAACGACATCCAATTATTGAGGGTCGGGTGGAGCATGCGTCCTTTTGCATGTATCTCTCAGCAGTTGTGTGTGTGTGTATTCTCACACCTTCCTCCCTTGCCGTTTTGTAAAGAGTTGCCTTGCCCGAACCCTTAAGGCCTACTGAGTAGAGCCCACTATGTCTGCATTAGGGTTCAGGTTTGTTTTGCTTGTTCTTCTGGGTGGAGGGGGGCACATGTTGAATCCAGACCGTGGGCCTTCGGCCTGCCTAAGGGCCTACAGTCTGCCTAGTGATTTTGTACTGGCATCTTTCTTGCCTTACGGACGACTCGCCTCTCAGGCCCTGCGTAAGCCCTTGTGGAGTTGTAGAGTTTACAGTAGCAGCCATTACTTGTCACACGTTGGTGTAGGCAATGAGCCTGGTTTGCTGTTTCTTCTTGTAGCTCGAGAATGGGGCCTTGCTATTCCACCCTCAACCCTAAACCCTAAACCCCAAGCCCTAAAAGCTAACCCCCAAACCCTAACCCGAAACCCTAAACCCTTAAACCCTGAACCCTAAACCCTGAACCCTAAACCCTAACCCTGAACCCTGAACCCTAACCCTAAACTTTCGACTTGCAGGTTTTAAAGGCCACCGCCGCCAAGGATCATCCCTTCTTTAGCAGCTTTGCCTTGCAAGCAGCTCCTCTTTTTGCTGTGGGCTGCAGCGGGGTTAGGGTTCAGGGTTCATGGGGTTTAGGGTTCAAATTAGGGTTCATAGGGTTTAGGGTTCAGTGTTTATGATTTAGAGTTCAGGGTTTGGGGTTTAGGGTTCAGGGTTTAGGATTTAGGGTTTAGGGTTTGGCGTTTAGGTCGGTGAGAGCACGTTTGGTCAGCTTGTTGGAGACAAAGCAAACCCTGCCAGGTTTTGATGTGGGCAACCTCGACACGCTGGGCTCGAACGACTTAGACGGCACGCGGAAGCAACTGGTGGAGTGGAACAAGACGCACTATCAAGCTGGACTTTTGGCAGCAGCAATGGGTGGGGCCTCTTTTGTTTCCTACATGGGGGTTTACGATATTGGGGTTCCGTATTGTCAAGGGGATCCTACTATTTGGGGTTTATCTTTCGGGTACCCTATTTTCGTAAACCCCCACATTGTCTCGTCCAGCCAAGATGCTGTGAGCTCCTAAGCCCTAAACTGTACCTGGACCCCTTTGTCAAAGTTCCCAGAAGAATCATCTAGTCGATTCTTGCGCTCATTGTGAGGGTGTCTTCATGTAACCATGAAATCCCTAAACCGTAAACCCCTACACCCCTAACTCCCTAAGCCCTAAACCTCTACACCCTTAACTCCCTAAACCCTATACCCCTACGCCCCTAACTTCCCCTAACTCCCTAAACCCTTTACCCCTAACTCCCTAAACCCCTATACCCCTAAACCCTAACCCGAAACCCTAAGCCCTAAGCCCTAAACCCTAAACCCTACACCCTAAACCCTAAACCCTAAACCCTAAACCCTAAACCCTAAACCCTAACTGCTTCCCGCAGGCGCCATGAAGCTTGTTGTGGTTGGCAGCGGAAGCCTGGACGAGCTCCAGCCACCCTGCTTGCCGATGTTAACCTTCAACCCTAAAGCTGGTTAGGGATGCTTAAAGGTTTAGGGTTTAGGGTTTAGGGATGCTTAAGGTTGAAGTTTTCAGGGCATGCAGAGACATCGGAACCCGAAAGCCCTCCAAGCCTCTCAAGTGCTCAAAGGCCCTAAAACCCCAGTGGCTTCATCTAGCACACAGAGTTTAGCACGGGCCCACCCGAAACCCTCATCCCTTTATCCCTAAACCTCAATCCTATACCTTTTTCCCTAACCCTAAACCCTCTCTCTAATCCCTGTAAAGCTGGTGGCTTAGGATCTGCTTGGTTTGCGTGAAGACTTCCGCTACAAACCTTGATTTCAAGTTTGATGTCGTTTCGGGTTCGTAGGCTGGTTTGGCCCTCAGCAGCTGCGCCCATCTAAACCCTCAACTCAAATCCCTCGGCCCTCCGGCACCCCCTTGAACCCTTTAAGTCTTACAGAGCCCTGCAGACCGTAAACCCGAACCCAGAAACCCTTTTGCCCTTAGTAACATGATCAACCGTAAGCCCCAAACCCTAAGGGTCCATGTACCTAAATAGGGTTTTCTTGGGCCTTAAAGTACCCTTTGGGGCCCAAGTATAGAATAATCAGGTACATGGACCCTAAACTCTCAACCCTGTCAACCCTAAACCCTAAACCCTAAACCCTAAACCCTGAGGGCGCTGGTCACCGAGAAGTTCCGGGACGTGCCATCGGGGAGTGGCCGAGACCAGGTCTACCCAGTGAGGCCCTGGCCCGACAGCCAGGCCGGAAGGGTTCCTAAACACCTTAAACAAAGGGCCCCCTGTTTTATCACAGGGTTTAGGGTTTAGGGTTAGGGTTTTGGGGTTTAGGGTTTGGGGTTTAGGGTTTGGGGTGGTTCCTAAACATCCTCACATGGCCATAGGCTTTATTCGGGGGACCCCCAAAGAGCAGTTGGGGGAAGCCCTCAAATTGCCCAGTCTGACAGTCATAGGCGCAATCATGGTACGATATACTACCAAACCTAATAGTAGAGTAGGTCATATTTAACCTTTTTGGGTTAATATATTCCCCTTACAATCCCAAAGGTTAACCTTTAAACCCGTAGGTACTGGACAACTAAGCAAACAATAACGATAAGAGTCATATAAGGCAACAATTCTGGCAAGCACTGAGATCATAGATTCAATAATTCTCTGTCTCTCTCTCTCTCTCTCTCTCTCGCTCTTTCTCGCTCTCTGCCTCTGTCTACGCACGCACACATAAATCCCCTTTCTAAGCCTCTCCTGCCCACACTTCACGATGCAAGCCCCCAAAGTACTCGGAACTATAATTTGTTGTACCCTCTAGGGCTATAGGCCCCCCAGCCATGCACCCTGGCACTATGACTTACGTCTCCCAGCGCAGGTGGGCCGCATCGTGAAGTGCGTGCCCTTGAAGGCGGGAAGGGGGGGGGGGGTTGCTCACAGGGTCTTTTTTTTTTGGGGGGGGGGGGGGGGGGGGGGGTTAGGGTATGACGGTATGACCCTACCCACACAAACCCCTACACAGCACAACGCCGTAGAAGCCTTGCTTGTCTTGAGCCTCTGTATAAGCGCCCTGCAAAAAAGCCACATGCAGGCCTGCTGCGAACTAATGGCTGGCTGAAGTGCAACCCTCAAACAGAAAACTGGGGGGGTTGACTGGGGGATAATTTCTTCAAGTTCTCTTGCCCCTCTGCCCGTGCCATACGTAGCGCTACCACATGCGTTCAACATTTCTAAGGCGCCCCCCCCCCCCCCCCCCCCCCCAACTTTGCCCAAGCGAGCCCGAAGCTCGAAACCTGGAACGATCTGTTTTCAGGACTCTCGGTCGATCTCGGCCTGCTGGCCCCTGCCCCCGGTTCAGAAATACCTGTGGCTGGGCTCCGAAACGATTTTGGTTTAGGGTGTTTAGGGAAGGCCTCAATGCTCTATCCCATGTTTCACTCAAGGACCGTCATGAAGGATCCTGCTTGGATCCTACGATGGCTCAAGGTAATGGAGAGCACAGGAAGATCTATGAAGGCCCTGTTTGCCTCGGTTAGTCGGTGTGTCTATCTCAGTGTCGGTGTTCCTGGCCTAGCTTCAGATAGGAACTCGTAAGCAGAAGAGGGTCGTTTAGAAAGCCTCCGTAAGCCGTCGGTGCACTGTTCCTTCTAGACCATTGGGAGGGCGAATGAAGCTACGGCTGAGGTTTTTATCTCATTCGTCGACCTGTTGCATTTTCTAGGCAGCGTCCGCGTCCGTAATATACGAGCCTCCCAACCCCGGCCCTGAACCCCGAAACCCAAAGCTGAGAAGAGCTGGCAAGGCGACGGGAGCCTGAACCCCGAAGCGCCCGAAACCCCTCCCTGTGACCCCATATGCTACATAGCCGACAACTGCAAAGTTCGTGGTAAAGAGGCCATTGCTACGAGTAGTTTGACAGCCTAACCCTGAATCGAAACCCTGAACCCTAAAATCCCTAAAATCCCTAAAATCCCTAAAATCCCTAAAAACCCTAAACCCTAAACCCTAAACCCTAAACCCCATCCCTAACTTGTCGGCTGCCTCCCAGGTTTGCGAAGCCCGAGCTCTACTTGGCGCACCTTCTGGGCCACGAGGGCGCCGGCTCCCTCCACGATGCCTTGAATCAGCTCCCTGGCGCATGCTGGGGGGAGGGGGGGGGGGGTAGCCCTAAACCCTAAACCCTAAACTCTAAACCCAGGCTGCGGAAGGCATTCGCAAGAAGCATGGTGAAAAAAACATGGCGCGCGGAAGCTACTCTCGCGGGTCCTGCGGAAAGACTCCAGATTTCCATTCTTTTCCTAGCAGTCGCCAACAAATCCATGGCTCACCTGGGGTTAGAATGTCGGGGCCGGGTTTGGGATTGGGGCTTAGTGTCCCAGATTCCAGGGGCCCCATGAAGCCGAGGGTGGCCAAAATTGTTTGTTGCAGCCTCGACATGCCCCGTGTTGCTCTTTATTGTGCTGAGTTGCGGATGTTTGCGGTGGTAACTCGAATTAATCAACTTGGCGCCACATCTTGTTGCAGGAGATTCCAAGCTGCTTCAGAGCTCTACTGTTCAGCACATTAGGTTAGCACTACGTTTGTATATATGTACATGCATGCACGTAGAACAAAAACTACCAACAGAAAGAAACACATATGAATAAATGCACATATACATGACATTGGCGGACCATGCCCCTTGTACAAACAGTCCTCAGTACAGATAATAGTATTTATCTGCTTTTGTATTAGTAGTTCGTGTTACTGCTGCGATGAATATGAGTAGTAAAAAGACATCAAGTGCTGAAGGTTTGGGTGGGTCGACCAGCTGTCTTCGGGCACTGCCCATTCGCCACTTGTCCTGCAAGTAGAAGGGGTTCAGGGTTTATAAGGTTTAGGGTTTATGAGGTTTAGGGTTTAAGTGACACGCTGCGCCCAGCACCCATCTTTCGTGAGCCTTGGCCCTCTCAATTGCCGGTCATTACAACTACGGCGTCGGGCAAACTGCATGTTCGGCCGGCAAGGCAGGGAGAAGTCATGGAGTGACTCCTGGGTTAATGACTGGCATGGTGGTGGTGGTGGTGGTGGTGGTGTGTGCTTGCTTGTGGCCGTTTGAAAGCCGTGTGTGAGTATGTGTGGGAATCTGGACCAAACGCAACTCAGGCTTGTAGTTTCGCATGCCAAGTGTTTCTGCCTCGAATCGCGTTCGGGAGCATACAGGCACAGGTTGCCAGGATGGGCTGTTATACCCTATCATCCCCCAAAAGAGCCCACTTCATAATGCAGAGAGGTTGGTTATGGGTCATTATAAGTACCTGATAGCCCCTCCTGGTTGCGGGCGCGTGCGGGCAAGCACATGGGAGCCAAGGTTCACGGATGAGCAGCTCTTCGCCATCAACATCACGCTGACCCCAGAGGCTTCCCTCCGAAAACTCGGTTTTCAGCAATCTTCGTAACTGATGATCTAAGTACGTTCGGTATTGAAATCATGCTTCTACTGTACTACTAACAGTCAGAAAAAGTAGTAGCACGGCTACTGATTTGCACAGCCGAAATAATGCTAGCCTGGTAGAACACCGAAAACTCTATAAGCCGTAAGCTCTAACCCTACATGATACCTTCCCCTATGTAGCCCGAAGCTCCTACTTCCGGAAAACCCCAACCATCGGCGCCCACATTCCGCCTCTTCCAGCAGGTTGTCGCGTTTCCTTCAACCTCCCTCAAAGTCGGGCGCAGGGTTTAGGGCTAGGGTTTAGGCCCCTTAAGAGCCCATTCTTACAGGGTCCATGTACCTACTGTTCAGTATGGAGCCTTAGGGATTTAGTAGCTGCAAGTGGAGGGTTTGTGGCACAACGAACCTGCCGACGAGGGCGATGCCCATCGCGAGGAGGTCTTGGCTTTGCTCTTTGAGTGCCCTGGAGTGAGAGAATTTGTGGCTTAGGGCTATTAGGGTTTAGGGTTTGGGGTTTAGGATTTGGGGTTAGGGTTTGGGGTTTAGAGTTCTGGGTTTAGGGTTTGGCGGTTCGGGGTTTAGGAATTGGGGTTTAGGATTTGCGGTTCACGGGCTGGAGGGAATATAGGGGTCTTGTCTAGGGAAGCCAAAGCAAAACTGGCCCTGCATGCCACATTTTGTACTTCCGCTATTCAGGTGGAGTTGTCTTAGAACTGCGTAGAAGAGTAGAAGAGTGGTCTTCCTGTACATGGGCACAGACACAAGCTGAGAGGTACGTCGAAACAATTCGATCAGCTGGTCCTAAGGAGGACGGAAATCACGTCAAGTTCCGATTCTGCTTGTCTAAGATGTGCTGGGCACACTGTCACATCCTTAGCCATGCGCGGCCCAAGTCCCGCTATGCGGCTTGAAGGAGATCTTCAAGGAGCTTGCCTCTCTTCAAGAGATCGGCTTTGCCCACAAGGAGGACGGCATGCTGGTGCACAGGTGAGAAGCTCTGCAGAGGTCCTATTTCGGGTATGCAGGCTGTAATTGGGTCGTAGGGGTAGGTGCGTGTAGGCCTTTCGAGCTTGGTATTTTGCGGGATTTGGGGCCTGAGAAAAAGAACTCTGCCGTGTACCAGACAAGGGCTCGCAAAATGGGGCATTCCTCTAGGATCTCATTCCTTGCTCGGAACGATATCGTATCGTATGCGCTGCCCGAAGTGCAGGACTACCCACTGCCCGATGATTTTGCAGCCACAGCGGCGATGACTTTGCACAGGCACTGCCGTGATGATGTCACGAGCCAAACAGTACTTGGAGGTTCATGGTACTTATGAACCAATTGTAAGTACATTTATAATCGGTTAATAAGTACCATGAAACCCTAAACCCTAAACCCTAGAACCAAACAGTACAGGCAACTGTGTTCAACAGCAGAGTCTTGCGGGCACAATGGCATGCTCCGGGCTTCCATGCGGGTCAGGGTTGGTCACTTTCCCCAATGCCTACAAATTCCTTCCTTGGGTTTAGGGTTTAGAGTTTAGGGTTTAGGGCATCGGGTTTGAGACGAAATGAACCCTTAAAGGGTTTATGGTTCATATACCTTAGTAGGAGCTATAGCAGTATAGGGTATATGACCCCAAATTTAGGCTTCCTTGGGTCCCCAAGGTATATAAGCAGCAGCTTACGTCCTGCGCCCCTGCGCTCCTATAGCAGGTACCCTGCCAGCGAAGTGCTCCGAGGGCCCTTCGCTTTGGATGAGTGGCGGTCAGACGTCGTTGCAGACTATCTGCCTTTCGGACAAGATTCTGGGAGTGTGTCTCTTGTGATATTACCCTAAACCCTAAGCCCTAAACCCTAAACCCTAAACCCTAATCCCTAAATCCCTAAATCCCTAAATCCCTAAATCCCTAAATCCCTAAATCCCTAAATCCCTAAATCCCTAAATCCCTAAATCCCTAAATCCCTAAATTCCTAAATCCCTAAAACCCTAAACCCTAAACCCTAAACCCTAAACCCTAAACCCTAAACCCTAAACCCTAAACCCTAAACCCTAAACCCTAAACCCTAAACCCTAAACCCTAAACCCTAAACCCTAAACCCTACCCTAAACCCTTCAGAAATTCTTCAAGAGCTTCAACTACCGCAGCGTTGCTGCGCGGATCGCTGCTGACAATTTCTCCGCGTGTGCTGCTTCATTCCTTTGCAGCTGCACTACACCCATATGCTAGCTATTTGGGTTTTGGGTTTAGGGTTTAGGGTTTAGGGTGAGTATGTAACCCATGTAACCCTAAGGGTCCATGTACCTTATCATTATATACATGGACCCTTACGGTAAGCAAGCCTACATGCGCCCTTGTTTCCTGAAGATGCCTGCAAGGTCGACCCTTACGCCTGAGAACTGCCTCATCATGATCACCAGCGATGGGTTCCGGGAGGAGAGTTCCTCGGAGAGTGCCGGCGAGCAGGTGCGAGCGCAGCTCCCGCTCACAAAGCAGACCTTCCCTGGCCCTCCGGATCCGCAAACCCACGGAAGTTTATGGTTTAACCAATTTTTGGGCGCTTGAGGAAAGATGAAGCAACCGATGTCGATTTGAATAAAGGTTTTTTCACTTGTGATAGGGCGGTGTTTGTTTTTTCAATACAGCTTGGCCATTTAAATGCTGTTCTGGTGTTACATAGCCCCTGTCCAAGCCATCTTTAACGTACTTTCCGCCGGGGGCCGGGGTTAAGCACACAACTGCCCCTAAACCCCTAATCCTAAACCCTAACCCTACACCCTCTAAACCCCAACCCTAAACCCTACGCCCCTAAAACCTTCACACCGAAACCCCAAACCCTAGACCTCCCGTCTCTCTTTTCTCTGCCATGGTCTTGTACATTGACGAGCACACACCCAGAAACCCCTGAACCCTAAACCCTAAACCCTAAACCCCTGTGCAGGGCTGGAGGCCAGAGGAGTGGTACAAGGCCCATCTCCGGCTTTCGTGAAAACAGGGTTTAGGGTTGATAGGGTTTAGGGTGTGGAGTGGTTTAGGTTTGGTAGAGGCTTCAGGGCTTATAAAGGGTTTAGGGTTTAGGGCTAGGGTGGTTTAGGTGTTGGGGTTTATGGTTTAGGGGTGTTGGGCATTCAGCGTTGAGGAGGTCCGGGGTTGATGATATACACCCCCGCCCCCCCAAGGAAAGAAGAGACGTAGCTCAAGAACTTAGACCCTTTCGTCATCTACCCCCTCAAGCCCCGAAAGCCCTGAGGCCTTTAAATGCACGATGTACTGACTTCCCAATTTTGGAGTGCCTTATTGGGGTCCTTTAGGGCTGCGCAGTGGCAAGTACGCTGTCAAGCCAAAGAGCCCCAAGGAACTCTTCCATCTTGTCCACGTCACGCTCCGCAGATTTCACCGTCAGTCATTATAAGGTATATTTAGGGTTTAGGGCTTAGAGGGTCTGGGGTTTAGGGTTTAGGGTTTAGGGTTTAGGGTTTAGGGTTTAGGGTTTAGGGTTTGTTTAGGGTTTAGGGGAGTTTCATGGTCCCTTAGTATGGGCCCTGGTCCCTGTAATATATACCCCGCATATACGCTGTGAACACAATAGTCTCTTCTGAATCCGATGCTAACCCTGACCTGAGATGACCTCTCAGTCCTCAGCCCTGAACCTTATTAACCCTGCACCCTAAACAACCCTCCACCCTCAACCCTCCACCCTCAACCCTGAACCCTAAACCCTAAACCCTAAACCCTAAACCCTAAACCCTAAACCCTAAACCCTAACCCCCTAAGCGCCCCTGAACCCAGGCTTACTACAAGGAGGAGCCCCTGGACCAGGAGCATCTAGGAGGCCAAGCGGTGCCCTTTTGATCCTCTGTTGCTTTTGGTAAAAAAAGAACGAACCAAGGTTTAGGGTTTAGGGTTTAGGGTTTAGGGTTTAGGGTTTAGGGTTTAGGGTTTAGGGTTTGAAACCCTAAAGCTTTGGAAGCTCTACAACCCTAGAACCAAGCTACCAACCTGCAAGCCTTCAGACCCTGAACCGTATGAGACCTTAAACCTAACGCCCTCCAGACCTTAAAGCTCTAAAACCTACAAACCGACAGACCCCGAACCTTACGAGACGAATTTGGTGGGCCACCCTAAACCCTAAACTAAACCCTAAACTAAACCCTAAACCCTAAACCCGAGGCACCTCGAATCCTGGCGCGAGAAGCTGCAGCTGGCCCTGCAGGGTGAGCCCTCGGGCCTGAAGCTGCCGGAGCCGAACCGCCCCCTTGGGTGCATGTAACTCACTTTAGGGTCTAGGGTTTAGGGTTTCGGGTTTAGGGTTTAGGGTTTAGGGCTTAGGGCTAGGGTTTAGGGTTTAGGGTTTAGGGTTTAGGGTTTGAGGTTTCGGGTAGGCCGGGGTCAGGGTTTTTAACCTCCCTCGGCGGCTTTGGAAGTGGGTCAAAACATTTCTTTCATTGCAGCGGCTTGCAAGCTAAGGCTTCATCCCAAGCGACTTCTCCCTCCGCGCTTCGGGTGGGGAGGGCGCCGAGGTCACGAAGCTCCCAATGGAGGTCTTGCCCCCAACCCCAGTGGTGGACAGTGAGATGCTCCGGCTCTGGCACAAGGCGCCTCATGGGGTTTAGAGAGCTGCCACTGTTCATCCTCGGTTCCAGATATTATCCCTGTTTTCAAGCAGGGGGCACTTGCACAGAAAGTCATCTGCTCGGTTCTCTCCTAAGCATCCTCCTTGATCGGGTCACTGCGAGTACGGGGTCCTGGGATACCTCCCAGAAAGGAAGAGGGTCCTGGCTTAGAGAACTTAGACCAGCCGAGCCAGGTGGACAAAGCCTTCGCGACTCCCAGGGAGTATGTTCTGGCGCACGTGCACACCGGCGCCTACGATGCTGGCCCCGAGGTGGTTGCGATGATGAGACTGCCGGGCGCCAAGAGAGCCCTGATGGGAGCCCAGTTTGGGCTCAAGAGGCTTTGCACTGGTGCCCCCTTATACTAACAGTCCTTAATATGGATTGTGGTAGGGAGTTCTAGAATCCCAATTAAGGACTGTTAGTATAAGGGGGAACATGGGGGTTCTATAATCCTTATCAAGGACTGTTAGTGTAAGGGGGAACATCCCCACCCAAGACCCCAAAAGACTCCGGCGTCATGAGGTTCTGCAGTGTGGTCAGTGACGACCTGAACACGTTCTCCTACGACGCCAGCGTCGCAGGCTTGGGCTACAACTTGGAGTTTGCGGACCCTTGGCTTATTGTGCCCAGCAGAAGGCTCATGGTTTTGCAATGACTCTTGTAGGCACAATGGCACAAAATTCTAACACAAACACACACACACACACACACACACACACACACATGAATCTTAAGAAACTCATAAGGCCGCTACCCTGGCACCCAAAGTTCTCATCAGATTGGCAATGTATCTACCTTTCATTTTGGCCCGACAGGGCCCAGATTATGGACACTTTGGGGCACAGGCAACTCTCAAGCCTGCACCTCAGGACAACCTGACCATGTCCGTGGGGGGCTTCAACGACAAGCTGCCAGACCTCCTCAAGGTGCGCGACCTAAGCTTGGCGCTTCGGAGGATTGAAGTCCGATAGCACAGAAAATCTGCGAAAACTGCAGGGTGGGGGGGTCGGAGGGCCATTTATACCTATTGTGGCTGCCCTAAACCCTAAACCCTATACCCTATACCCTAAACCCTAAACCCTAAACCCTATGCCTGCGAGCTTTCGCACAAGCAAAGGTCGTTGTGGAGCGCATCGCCACCCTCTTGGAGGAGCTTGAGACGGCTGCTGAGGCCATCGGGTCGGGTGGTGCCAAGAATCACAGTGATATTCAGGTTCGGGGTTTAAGGGTTTAAGGGTGTAAGGGTTTAAGGGTTTAAGGGTTTAAGGGTGTATGGGTTTAAGGGTTTAAGGGTTTAAGGGTGCTGGGTTTATGGGTTTATGGGTTTATGGGTTTATGGGTTTATGGGTTTATGGGTTTATGGGTTTAAGGGAGCTCTTCAAGCTTCAGGTTCGCAGATTCCTCCATGACAAACGCAAAGCATGCACTCCTGGTAGCCCCAGCTGAGTCGATGGCAAGGGTCCTTCGTTGGAGAACTGGTAGTCCTTCTGCTTCAAATGCGCACCTCCTACCTCAAGATTATGACCTGGATCCACCACTAAAGTACCCCAGAAGCACGGCAGAAGCACGGTTGAGCAGCCATGCTATACCCCCCCAAACACGGAGCACAAAAACCCTCTTCTGCCACCCTGAGCCCTAAACCATCCACCCCTACTAAACTGGAAGCCCCAAACCCCTAAACCACTAAACCCGAACCTCTTAAACCTTAACCCTAAAACCCCTTAACCCTCACCTGAATGAGGCCCGTAAACCCTAAACCCTAAAGCCCCAAATCCCTAAAACCCTAAAACCCTACAACCCTAAAACCCTAAAACCCTAAAACCCTAAAACCCTAAAACCCGAAAACCCTAAAACCCTAAAACCCTAAAACCCTAAAACCCTAAACCCCTAAACCCCCAAACCCCCAAACCTGCTTCTGCTTCGAGGCCGTGAAGGGAGCCACCAGCGAGGAGGAGCTCCTGACAGCGCTTGGGGACCGAGGGCAGGAGCCCATTTTTTTCTTTTTTTTCTTTTGGGAGGGCGGGCGGGGGGGGGGGGGGGGGGCGGGGGGGGGGGGGGGGCGGGGGGGGGGGGGGGGGGGGCGGGGGGCGGGGGGGGGGGGGGCGGGGGGCGGGGGGGGGTGGGGGGTTGGGGTTTAGGGCTTTAGGGCTTTAGGGGTCAGGGTTGAGGGTTTGTAGGGTTTTCAGATTTTGGGGTCTTAGGGTTTTGGGGTTTAAGGGTTTAGGCTTTTAGGGGGCTGAAGGTTAATCGGAGTTGTTCTCACCAAGGTTGCAGAGATTGGAAGCAGTCAGGAACCAAGCAGTCGAGGCGACAGTTCATATGCAAAATCTTTGATTTTCGCCATACCTACAGTGATTAACCCTTTAAAATTCTAGGAACCTAAATGGGATACTTGTACTGTACCAGATTCTAAGAGTCGATGTAGTTTTATTTGGAAGCATGACATGGTATGCCCTGTACACCAAAGCCCTAAACCCTCGACCTATCATAGTTGTTGTTGATGCGGAATAGCCGGAATAGCTGTTAAAATTGCATCCCCCCCCCCCCCCCGC